ATCCTATACTTATTATGAAGAGATGGAAATCTGACTTACCATTTTCTCAAAATGCCAAAAGTGATATGACAGTTTCATTTTTTAGCTAACATGAAAGCAGCTGAAGATGTTTAACACAAACTTTCAGAGCCTTCTGCTTCCACAGCTCAACCTCCTGGCAGTTTCCCTTTTTTTTCTAGAACTCAAAGCTAGCTCCAAAATAAAGTAAGCCAAACTCACATTTCTTTGTCTATTGAGGCCCCTCCCTCAGAATGAGGGTAGTCACACAGCAGATACAACTGTGCAAACACTGTGTAGGCTGCTTCAAACAAATTTGGCAAGGCTCTGTAATTTAGTTACTTGCAATACTACAACAGAGCAACTGTATCATTGCCTTAAAACATAACTACACAGAGAGAGAGAAAGCAAAGTCCAAAATGTGCATTCCACTTCCCATTCAGAAAAAAATATCACAAAATATATGTAAATAAGACCAGAAAATTTATGTCTCTGAAAAAAAAGAATTTTTTTTTTTTTTTGACACTGAATTTAACACTTTTGGGATATCTTGGGGCAGGATACTCTTCTTTCTCTACTTAATGTCTGCAAGACTGGAATAACTGTACTTACTTCACAGGGATGTCAAAAGTATTAATTTCTTGAGTTTGCACAACGACTTTGAAGATGAAAATTGCTATTGAAGTTCTAAGTGTCAATTTGTATAAATAAGCAAAATCTTAACACCTGCACCAACCCAAACAAAACTCTCCCCTCTCCAGGTACAGTTGAGCATAGGATCAGAGGATCAGAAAATAACATTCTTTCATCCACTGTCATATCTCAAAAGAAAACAGTAAGTTCTTCCCAGCCCTTACTGCCTGAAATCTTCCTTGCCACTCACTGACCCTGTGACTTATATTTCACAGTTTCTAAGATGTGCTTACTAGACTTGTAACACAAACATTAACATTTAAAATTAGTGTTATTGATGAAGGCATACTGACACAAATCAGTTTTAAGCAATCAGCTTTTCCAGGTGTAGCTGCTTTGAAGTCCCTTAAAGAAAGCTTTCTTTTGTTTCAAAGTACTGTTTCAATTCACAGTGATTTCAAATACACACCATAAATCTTTCAAGAACAAATGAAACAAATCCACATTTCTTTGTCCATACTGATTTATTTCTAGTTATATATATGGCAAAGGGGGCAAGTGCTTTGAAGACATCTTATTAAACCTGAAGAAGGAAGTGGTTAACACTCCTATTTTATAATACATTTGTCAGCCTTTTGTTTCCCCCATACCCATTCCCATCTCCAATGGAAATCCAGTGATGACTCAGCCACTTCTCATCTCTACGAAACTCATCTTTTCCTTACCTTTCTCAGTTATTAACCGAGGAATAGAAATTACCCCATTATGCAAGAAACACTATTTACCCAGATACTTCTCCTCCTCCTCTATCTTCTTCTTTAGCCTCGGCTCAAAGAGCCAACATAACTGCCTAAGTAAGATCTACAGTTTTCGAGCAAAATTAAATGTCAGAATTTCTCAGAGTTTTGCAATGCTCTTGTTTTGGAAGAATGCAGATAAATATCAGCTTTGGAAATAAGTACCAATTTGTCAGACTGGCAAAGGTTAAAATCATTTTCATATGTAGAAGTCAGAAACTTTCAATCTGAGGTACAACAAAACAGCAATTTACAACATCAGCTACAATTAAATGGCAAAAAAAATATAATTAATTTTGTTATTAAAAATGCATTTAAAAAACTTATTAGTTCTACATAACACAGATAATAATTTCAACTTCCTCCTGACAGAAGTGATTAGGGTTTTTTTTATTGTGCTTTTAGCATGCCATTTTTTTATTTTGGAGATAGTTCAGAAAATTGTTATTTCTGAATCTGTGGGTCCTTATTCTGCCATCAGTCACTAACCTTGCCTATTTCTAATGAATTAAACAGCCAGTTATCTATTCTGTAAAATATTTCATATTCAATACATACACCTTTAACCTCATGTACTGAAATCCAATAGTGTTTGGTTGAAATGGCTTTCCAGCACAGAAATCCACTTTCAACATTTTGACAAGCGACAGATAAGGATGAACGTGACAGAACTGCTTGTTTTTCCACAATTAATGGCATTTATTCTGTGTTCTGTTAAAGCAGAGGTGAGTGAAGAGCAGAAGGGAAGACTGCTTTCACCTGCAGCAATGACTGCTGTGCTCCAGGACCCGGGAGTCCTGGTGGATGACAAGATGACCATGAGCCTACAGTGCCCTTATGGCCAGGAGGGACAGTGACACCCTGGGGTGCATCGGGAAGAATGTGATCAGAAGGTTGAGCAAGGTGATCTTCTCCCTCACCTGAGCCCTAGTGAGGCCACATGTGGAGACTTGTGTTCAATTCTCCACAGTTCAAGAAAGACAAGGAAAGAGTACAAGCAGCAGGTCCTGCCTGCTGGAACCTGCTCCAGCATTGGCTCCCCTTTACATGAATCTACAGATCCCTAGCAGGAGCCTGATCCAGCACTGGCCTGCCACAGGATCAAAACTTCCTCTCAGGCATCCACTTGCTATGGTGTGGGTCTCCTTCATGGGCTGCAGATGGATCTCTGCCTCCTATGGACCTCCATGGCTTGCAGGGAGCAGCTGCTTCACCATGGGCTGTACCATGGGCTGCAGAGGAATCCCCATTCCAGCATCTGGAGCACCTCCTCCCCCTCCTTCTGCACTGACCTTGGTGTGTGCAGAGTTGTTTCTCTCAAGTGTTCTCACACCGCTCTTCTCTGGCTGCAATTACAGCTACACAATAACTTCTTTTTTCCCCTTCATTTTTGAATGTGTTATCACATATTACCATGTTACCACCATTTCTAATTGGCCCAAGCATGACTAGCAGCACATCCATCTTTGGAGATGTCAGGGATTGACTCTGCCAGACATGAAGGAAGCTTCTGATAGCTTCTCACAGAAGGCACCTCTGTAGGCCTTCTTAGGAGGCATCCAGTATTTACACACATTGAAGAACTTTTAGCCAGACTTCTCAGTGATGCCCACTAACAGAACAAGAGGCAACAGGCACGTACTAAAACCAGGATAGCCCAGAAAATCCATCTGAGCCCAAAAAATATGTGTCTACTGTAAGGGCAGTCAAACACTGGCCCAGGCTGGCCAGAGAATCCCCATTCATGGAGATACTCAAAACTGGACAGGATCCTGGGCAACACTCTCTCTGACCCTGCCTGAGAAGGGGAACTGAATTAAATGAGCTCAGGAGGTCCTCATAAACCTAATGACTCTGTGATTCTTGCTTCCTTATCCCTTGAAATTCAGTTCTTTGACAGGAACTGAATTAGTACATTTTTTCTTTCAGACTGAAAGCCTCGTTTTCATTCAACAGCTCACATTTCCACACAAATCACTTGGGTCTTCACTCTAATCAAATTATTAAATGCTGTCAAACAATGTATTTGAAATGGCCTTAGTTCACTAAGTCATGGTACAATTTAATTTAAGAGCTCGCCCTGAATATACAAATCAAGAAACACACTGTAGTCTGAGCTGAGTCTTGGTCTTCTTTGAAAAATGTCTAAAACATTTTAGAGACTGTGTTTTAGACTGTGTCTAAAACACAGTCTCACCTCTACACAGTGTAAGTTCTATTATATCCATATGGTTAAAATCTCTCATTGATATCTATATACTTGAGATACATCTGAAAGAACACTATAACATGAAAAGTTCGCACTAAACATAGGCAAAAGCTATGGCAATTTTATACGTAATATATATCTTTATATCTGCACAGACAGATAAAAACACGTGCAAAATTACATACAGTAACATTGATTATTGACAGTTCAGTGATTTATCAAAGACATTTGCTCTTTTAGCCCTTTTCAGTTAATTTCTCATTCAAGCCTGCCTACAGATGTTAGGATCATAGCGAACTGAACAAAACAGAGGTGTTTTGCCTTGGTTTAATCAGCTAATCAGCAGATTAAACCCAGTTTAAATAAAAAATGACACTACTATCTTCCAGAATTTTTTCAGCATTTATCTAAGATTGTGGTTTGGGTTTTCTTTAATTAAAAAATGCATTTTAAGCATCCTTAACTTATTTAATTGCATAATATATAGATAAAATAACAGTTTCTCACTTTCTCTCTAATCGTCTATAGCTTCTATTTAATCTATCATGGGAGAACCTCAGAAGGTTTTTCTTTATAGAGAAAGAGACCACACATCTTAAATCAATGATCCACAGAAAACACAAGAGGTATTTCTTGGAAGGGAGCAAAGAAGGCAGGCAGGCAGGCAGGCAGGAGCTTTTGTAATACATTTCCACCGTTTAATCAGCAATGGTGTAAGAAGGAAAATCCAAACTTAAGCTTCTAATAGTGAAATTTAAAGACATATGAATTCACAGTTATAAGGAGATACATTTGATCAAGTCTTAATCCAGGATTCAACTAGGATTTTTGCAAAGTTACCCATAGATTGGTACTCTGATTCCTTCATTGCACTGAAACAAATAGGAAACATTCCAAAATAATCACTAGAAGGTGGATGACATCCATACAGAACAGTATTAAAGACCAAGGAGTCTACTCTATACAGCAGATTGTTTGTTTTTAATTACACAAATTATATATGCAAAAAACTTAGGTTTAAGCCTTAAATAGCAAACATTCTGTCACACAACCATCACACATGCAAACAACATAAAACACACCTGGAAAAATACTGATACAAAATTCGTTTTTTAAACATGGGTACCAGAAAATACCATCTTTTTTTATACAGCTTTTACAAATGTCACGTTTTTCTAAAAATGACCCTGAAGTCACTTTTCACACCACCTCCAAAAAACATTCTTCCTGCTTGAATTTTTTTTTTTTTTACATTTATTTACATGTTCATGGCAAGAAAAAACAATTTTACCTTCAGACTCAGGAAACAAGTCTGAAAATACTCTCATCACCGTATTTTACAAAGGGTATTTTAAACCACTCACCTGTTTGCCACCAGTGGTCCAAGACAGGTACCTTGAAGACTCTTTTTGCCCATTCTAGCGTGTCCACATCACAGTGCTCACCAGCTACAAACATCATTCTGAACCTTTAAATAAAAATAAAGTCTGTATCTTGATCTGGATGTGGAAAGGAAAGCAAGATAATGAACACAATAAATGTCTCTGGCCATTGTCCCAGATCAAGGGAAAAGACAAAGGAGGACTTTTAGTTTTTGTTTTCTCTTTCCTTCTAAGTAGCAACTAGAATATTTGCAGCATTAATTTAAGCTACTTAATACTTCATAATGAAAAATGAACTTTATCTGCTGAATGCAAAGTCTTTAGGAGACCAGAGGCAAGCAACTGTCAGTTGAAGTAAAAAATAATAAAATTAAATGCTCTGTACACAGAAACTAGGTAGGTATCTTCGTTAGCACTGCAGTACAATCTCCCACAGCCAGATGCACGTCACTGAGATTTTGTTTCCCTTTAAGTCTTTCCTCAATGCATTTTGAATGAAGACAACTACTGAACACAGGACTTCACTCTTGTCCTTCAAAAGTGGACACAAACTGCACTGATTTTGTAAAACCAGTGAATTTGTAGCCACAAAAAGAGAGAATTCCTAGAACTGGTTGGTATAACACAAATTTCAGTTCAAAGGGTTATCATTTAGAAAGACTATGAGTTTCATCTTTCCAGGGAAATTAAATCCAGAAAGCAAATTAGACAAACACCAAGAACATATAAGAGTTACGGAAAAGTTAAGATATCTTGTTATCCTCTGAGCCAAAAGCAAAATTCCACTCTTTTGAATTGCCAGCTTTAATAATCAGATTTAATAATCTGCAGGCTAAAGATCAACTTTATGTTATGAGAAGAAAAATTAGCTATTTGGCAAACTTAAAGCACAAAACCATCAAAAAGAGCATCAAAGCAAAGTGCCTCAAGTCTAAGCAAAAAAATCATGGAATTATTTTCTCCTCTCAGTATAGCAAAACGAGAGATGGCAATGGCTATGAAATGTCCCACTGAACAATTTTTTAAAAGCCCACTTAAAACATCAAAGTTTGTAAGTCACCTGTTACTGCAATCATCTATCCCTGCAATGCAGTTAATTAAGAAGAAAGGTCCTAAAGTTTCTCTGTTAAATACATGTCCTCAGCTGCTCTGAAAACCTAAATTCCTAACATGAAATTCAGTACAATCAAGCTTTTAGGCCCTATACAGTAGTTCAGCAGAATGGACTTCAAATGTCACCTGACATACAGGGGACAGATCAATTTTCCTAAGGATCCTGAAGCAATAAATATTGTTCAACATAGTACACATTCATTTCCATCCCTGAACAGATTTTACCTTGAATATGAGAATCCAAGCACTGGATGTTTGGGTGACAGAGTCATAGACTGAGATACAGAACGCAACTGCAGCTCAGCTCCACAAAGGCTGCTCATGAGCACAGTTCAGAACTCCACCAGGACAAGCCATGTACCATCAGCAGCAGCACAGAGTAGGGGGCAGCAGGCAGAACTGCATTACATACTTCAATTTAAGAAGTTCTGAGTCTTAATCACATATCCTCCTAGCAGCATGTGGGAAATGTCAATTCTATGAGAAAATATTTCCTCCAAATAGTTTTGAATTTGCTACTTTAATTTCACATCCTCTTGAATGTGAAATGCTCCTGCATTACGAGACAGATAATGGAAGTTTCTTATCTACTTTATATTCATTATTTCTGCACAATGTTTATGCACTCTCATATTTCTTTCTAAAGTCCATTATTATCTGGCATCAGATGAACAACCGAGAATCTCTAAATGCTCTTGATATAAAATTGCAGAACATTCTCAACTGACCAAAAGTCAAGCAAGCAAAGTAGACTATGGGACACCAATGGCAAATTACTTGTACGTCAATCTGAAATGCTGAGTTGTTGCCACATTTCATGCAACTTGTCAATTGTTTGGAAATTAGAACAATCTGGCTCACAACAATTATGTCAACTGCAGGATGAAGTGTGATTCCTAATATGGGAAGAGTTAATAGCTTGGTATGGAGCTACCTTTTGAAGAGGAGAATGGATTCAAAGAGCTGAACAGAATATGCTTAGGTAGACAAAGCTCATGGAATTTGGATGTTAATTCTTTTTCCAACATGACAGGCAGCAATGCTCAGCAGCACTGGATGTTATCAAAAGCTATGTCTTTAGAGCTCTATAAATATGTGGTTGAACAGGGCTTTTGACCTGCAGTACTAAAAACTAAACATCTGTTTTACCATTAAGCATGAGTTGTGTTTTATACATAGGTGGCATTTTGTCAAAAGCAAAGAAATTTCAAGATTTGGCTCCAGTAGACACAAGAAATTTAAAGCATACACACTAGAACCTTTGGAAAACTCATATATATAATTTTGTGCAGAGGCCAGTGATGCCACAAACATCAACTCTTAATAGAAATTTATTTCAATTACGTCATTTCAAAAGAACACAAGTTTGTTTATAATTCAATTTACTAATGTAAATTAAATGCTCCGTTAGGTATGGAAGCTGGCATTGCCTGCCACTTTTTTTCTTCATCAGTAACTGTCTTTTTTAACATTATTTTTTTAAAGTGACAATGACCTTTACCATTTATTTAACACAACAATTCAGAAATAAAATGTACCATGGTGGAAACCTCTTTCAGGACTGCATTCCTGGATGCAGTCTCAAAAGTAAGACTCTGTTTTAGTGCATGTAGCAGAAAGACATTTCCAAGATTCTTCACTATGTAACAAAGAAGAAAGCATCATAGATCAAGTAAATGAACTAAAAGACTGCTTTCAAACTGAATCAGACAGAATTCACTTGACCTTGAAGAGAAAAGTAACATCCAAACCCAAATACTTCCCTAGAATGGAAATTTTAATCACTTGATAGACTTTCTTAACAACTGTACCTACTAGATATTAAATGCTGCATTAGAGGGTTTAGTAAAGACATCACATCCAAGCGAACTACATGGTCCAAAGGTGAGTGAATTATGAGACAACTAAAGCTGCACACAAGTGGAGAAACTCATTTGATATGACTGAATAGGAATGATGAAATAACTCCTTACATCTGTGGCAACAGATACTGCAAGGAGACTCTTATCTAGAATTCTCATCTGGCCAGAGAATGTGACAACTTACAAAGCAGGTAAGCAGATTTCCCATTAAATGAATACTTTAAAGACAAAGTAATTGCCTAAGAAAAGCCAAGAAACGGCAATTAAATTTTCTAGAATCTGAATCACTTTCTTGTCAATAAATGCCATAGGACAACATTGCATTAGTGTCTCAAATGAGCTTCTTTCTTATTTCAAGGAGGAGTAAGAGCTGACAATAGCAGTCAAAATAGATGGAAGAAAAGTAATAAGCTTGCAATGAATCCCTCAAGAAAAAACCCAGCTAACTAATAATAAACTTTTCTGAGCAATTAAGAATGTGGAGGTCTAATGAAGCTTCCCTTCTCTTGGAACATGTGTGGTAATAGATGTTCTTGTGACTGAATACTGCCTATACAGTCTGACACAGTCCCTGTTTGATGCTGAGCAAATCATTCAACTTCAAGATTAGATGTGGTCTAAATCCACATATTTTTCATTTTTAGAATGTTTATCATAAGATACAGAAACTTGGTCTGTAGAAGTATTGAACACTCACAAATCCAAGTTACTATGAGAAGCATTGCATAAATATAATGCTAACACTACATTTTAACCATATAATACTACAATCTTTGAAACAGTGGTATTTTAGTGGTTCAGTCTAGATATTCAAAACTAACAGAAGACTTTGACCTTAATCTCTCTTTGACTCAGCTTCCCATCTGCAATATAGATAATACCACTCTCTCACCTCACAGGGGATTTATGAGGATGAACTCAGCCAAGACTTTGAAGCACACTGATAGTATAGTGATAAGCACCTTAAAAGCAGTACAAAGCAGCAAATAGTGCTTTGGACACGTAATCATAAACAGTAACGAAGTTTTGGAGGAGCAACCAAAACATTGACTAGCTTCTGATTAAATAAACACTAAAGATCCTGTGACCTTAACAAAATGAGAGGTCATGCAGAAAAAGCAGTATGGGATGACATAATCCAAGACTGTATTACAGAGTATAAGCACAGGGGAGTAAAGTAAAAATGGGAGAGGAAACCTAACTCAGCTCTTAACATTAGAGTCATAGACTTTTAAACAGCTTTCATCTCCTCAAAACTATCAGTAGAATTTACAAGCAAATATGTGTACACCTAAATTTTCAAGAATAGATTAAAATGGCACTCTATGGAGGTGGGCAAAACCTCAGATACTCTGTTACTCTTAGTTCATGCAGCCTGCTTCTGGAAAAAACTTCCAGTGTATCCTTACTTCACCTTTTCAGCGAGTACTGCTTTCCTAAGGCTGCCTCAGGGTCCTGCTGACGGATTGCTCTAATTGCAGTTGGTGAAGTAAAGAAGGCAGCTACTTCATGCTCTGCTAGCACACGGAAATAGACACCAGCATCTGGCGTTCCCACAGGCTTCCCCTACAGAGAGAATAATTTAAAATGTCACAGGATAAAAATACCTCATAATTCCTTGACAGTTCAAGCCTTGAGCACGTAACAGTAGTGGTAGCACAGCAACAGAAGTAATTTCAAATAAGACTTCAAAAGAGGCTTTGTTAAAAATAATAATACTTTGAATGTATCCACTTGTAGAAATAAATGCACAAGCTTTGGGAACCGTGCCTTACTTGAACACAGCACATACTAGTTACTACTTAGAAAATTAGCACAAACAGACATGCAAATGAAAAGACAGACACAAAGATGTATTATTGCACTGGCAGCAGAGACAGTCATGTCTACGTCATGTCTACATCATGTCTGCATCTCTATCCTGAGATGCAGTTTAGAAAACACCCACACTCCCTCTGAACAAGGAGTCTCGGGACACAGTGGCACTGCAGCTATATTCCCATGCACAGAGAGCTTTTTCTTACCTAGAAATTCTTCTCAAATCTGGAAATATTCCCACTTAGCTGCTTACAACTGACTTTTTGGAACCTTCACAAAGCCTAGAGAGATCCTGAAGGGCCCCTATTCTGTTTTCGTGTGCTACCAGACTGTGGTCTGGCTTGGGGTTGGGTTTTTCTTGAGCTAAGGGCATAGTCAAAAGAATTGTAAACAGAAGTAATCATTTATGACAAATTGTTCAATGGTAAGTAATCCTAATAAAAATAAGCAAGAATACTTTTTTGTGGTGTTGAAAATACGATAAACAGTCAGCACAGAATCATATAATCACAATCTTACTGTAAGTGTAATTACCACAGTGCATGAACTGCTCCATACATATTCTGAAATTAGAAGGTGATGTTAATGTAGAATGATTTTTAGCTCCACAGGTATCACCATAACCTTTTCACTAGAAAGGCCACACTTAGAAGATGAACTTTGACAGAGTACACAAGTCGAGAGACACACACCTTCCTTCATCCACCTGGGCCTGAACACTGGCAAGAGCACTCATGAACCATTAATCAGATTCAAAGAACACAGGACAGCCAAGGCTGGACATGTACCAGTGGTTTTGCAGCTTTATGGTGAGATACTGCTCCTCAAAAAGAGGAGCACCACAAAAGATTTTAAAAATAAGACAAAACAGAATGCACAACTGAAAAGCCATTTTTTTAAAAATTATTAAGCAGGCAGTAAGAAAAAAAAGGAAGAGAAAATAAATTTCCAGCCCAAGTAGAAGAGTAGTATAATCAACACCAAAAGCCCTCTTTCTGCAATTAGCCTATTCTTTATTACCAAAAAGAAATGCAAAATGATGCTTACTTAAAAAGTGAGTTATGTCCTTTTCCCTGTCAGATAACACACAGTACCCAAAGAAAAATCTTCTACCACACTGTCTTGAAGCATCTCCCTAGCAGACCACTTCATCACAACTTTCGTGTGTTCATCAGTATTTGCTCATGAACCTGTTTGTTCAAGTTGACACTCTCTCCCTGTAATATTCACTATACCTGCAGATCTCTAGGCACCTGGTTAAGAGTTCAAGCCCACATCCCTAGAGTTAAAACAAATAGCCTCAGACTCTGAAAAAGACCAAACTGCCACAAGCTTCTCATGACGTAATTATGTACTTGAATTAGTATCAGTCATCTTGGACACCAAAACACCTAGCTGTGGAGCAAGCTGAACTTGGTTACTGTGCCAGTAATAACGTAGGCTGTTACTTTTAACCAAATGTAAATATCCAGAGCCCATAAAAGGGCTATGTGGTCCTGAGCACACCCACTCCCTCCCAGATCCCGCTGCACAACTGATCTCTGCCTGAGCTATGTCACAGACATGCCTGTGCCTCAAACTTCCAGCAAGCCTGAGCCTGACAGTATCTTCTACACAAACTGTTAAACCTTCAGGAGTGCTTGGATAAACATATAGGACTCTGACAGGTGGATATTTATGTCACAGGTAAGTTAAAGCAGTTTAGGTTATGAGTTACCAGTCTCAGATATAGGAGAAAACCAAATAAAAGACAAACAGTAGAAAGAGGAGAAAACTCACCTGTCAGTTGATAGGAAATATAACCCAGGGAGTAAGATATTCATTTAGGGAAAAAAAAATCTGGCACAGGTGTAAAATATTCTTCCAAGTTGTCTTGGAAGCTGTTCAGAGTTTAGCAAATGCATAAACAAAAATGGACATAACGTGTGAGACTGAAAGGGTTAATGGCTCAAACATTTTTAAGATCACTGAAGGACTTTGCCCACTGTAGCAAAGTGTGCAAAGAAGATCACCTGCAACCAAAGTCCATCCCTCCAAATATGCTTCCTGATGGGAATTCAGACTGTGAGTTAAGCCATCTGACAGTGAACTTGAGATAAGATAAAGGTGGCACTACTGTCCAACTACCTCTGGTCTAAGGAGAAGTAAACAGGGCTGGGAAAGAAAAATGCATCCAAAAGGGAGAAGGTGAGTTTTTGGGAGTGTGATGGCAAAACCTCTGGTCCATATAATACAGAGTGAACATCCACCACCATGGGACAATCACATCAGAGGTGACTCTCATGTCTTAGAAGGGTTCATAAACCATCAAAGGCCCCCAAAGGTCCCCAGACTCATTCCTCAGGCCTTACATTAGAGGACTGCAATTGGTTCAAAGTTTTGCAACAGATTTAGATTTTGCTACATAGGACAGTGTAAAACTCCCTGACAGGGGAGGTGCTTGGGCATTCCCATGCACACCTGAATGTACATTATTATCCATTGAATTCTATGTTCATGGGACACCCACCACAGAGAAGACCAGAAGAAAAGGATGAACAGGACACCCTGGATCCACAGGGGTGGTGACTAACTTTCCCCTAATCTGTCTCCCTTTCTTTCTCCCCTCCTCTTTTTTTTTATTTCTTTCTATCGCTCTCTCTGCCTCACATTTACTGATAAATAGAATCCATACTATTGACTTTGGCATATGGTCTTGTTTGCACCTTAATTAATCTCCCTTATAATCAGATTGTAACACGTATCTGAGACAGTGCAAATTAATTTCAGAGCTCAAAACCTACAAATAAAATTCCCAGAAAGAGTATTAATTTATTATATGAAAATTTTAAGAAGTACTACCATATTCCATGAAGGCTTATTACCACATGCAATTTTTATTTTTAGAAGTTAGCAATATAAACAGTAAACCACAGGGTAATTGAATTCAGAACATGTTGACAGACTGCTGAGTCAACTGGGGACTGAGCAAATGAGATACTTCCACTGGTTTCTGCAGGGATCAGCTAGAGAGCTGTTGCTATTCAGTATTCACATCAATACTGGAGATGAAAATTGATTTTTAAAAGTTACTGGCAATAATATCTATGGTTGACAGGAAATGAGAGCACAGTAAACAGGACCAGGGCAGTCAGAAAGAGAGTGCTCTGTCTCACCTAATTTAAAAGAGAAAAGTAAGAAGAGATACGATTCCCATAGAAAAGACCTACCAAGAGACTCTGAGAAAGACAAACAGACAGGAAAATCTTTCTGGAAGCACTTAGATCTAGCATGCAATTTATGAGATGTCAAACAGCTGAGCAGACATCCTGAGGCAAAATGTGCTGATGATTTATGATTTCATACATGATCATCAAAAAAGATTCACAGACACCAAAAATTACCAAGGAAATAGGAAAGTTCTTGCATGGAAGTGAGAAGCCACCAGCATAGATTACTTGAGGGAAGGGACACAGAAGAAGAGCTATAATCAAATGTCCAACAATGCAGGAGTAAGAGTGCATCAATTCCCTTTCTGCCTGACCCCTAACAACAATGGGTTCTTTAATTACCACTAAATTCAAAATTATGAGGAAATTCCCTCTGTATAGAAAATGTGGTGCATCCCTCTGTATAGTGCTGATGCCAAAGCACACACAAACCCTGACGTACCAGGACCAAAAGAATATGCTCAGAGAGGCATTCAGCCTCATGACAGTGACCTGCTGCCAAAGCTCCACTGAAGACTAGAGACAACATGTCCTAGTGAATTTGCTGCACAATCAGTTAAGGGTGATGGCAGAGTGATCCCTGCCAGACTTCAGAGACTGTGTTTGCTTTGTAAGCTGCTGATACTGGCTTACAAAAACAGCAGGAAAAGCTGGATATCTCTAAGAACTGTGTCAAAGAAGAGTAGTTTCAAACCTGTTGCTCTTATGTGTCCTGCAAATCTGCTGCAACTAGAGGACTCCAGAGAGCCCCGTGAGAGACTCCAGGCACACAGGATGCTACAGCTCTGGGTGGGACAGTAGGTCCTCCTCTCACTTAGACCACTCAAATGAAGTCCTTAATGTCTGGTTCTTGACAAGTGTGGGTATCTTCTTCCTTATCCTAGTTCAAAGTCCCAAACACCAGAAGTACAATGCTGCCTTTTTCCTAACATCACAGGACCACAAATTGTAACTAGACCTTCTCTTAATACTGCCCTGTTGCTTACAGCTTGAAACCCTATTAGCAAGAACAACCCAGAGTGGGCTGTGAGACTTCAGGTGGCTTATTTATTGCTGTTGTTTTGGAGAAAAACAACGCAGGACATATTATTTAAACCAAACAAACCAAAACAAAAAATACACTTGCTTTTGTATTCAAAAGAATTAATCATTTATGCATTCTCGGAAATGGTTTAACAGCAAGTGAAAACTAAAAGCATAATTTCCATAGTAATTTTTTAAATGACAAGTTGTCACCTATGTAATTTAAAAATATATAAAACACTTGAAGTAGTGAGAGTATGAAGTCAGCACAGTTTACTTTTAATAGTGGTTGTCCACAAGCAAAAGAAATGTAATGTTCTTCCCCCGTGGCTAAGCAGTGATACTCCCTAACCCAAAAGATATAATTAGGCAACCATTTAGGAGACTTGACTAAAAATTTCTGAATATTTACTATTAATACAGTCTTTTGAGCAGAGGAAAAATTATGCACTATTCTCTTTGTAAATATTACTTTTATTCCTATGTGTTCAGACACCTTCCTTTTCTTCCCATTATTAACCCTCAAAAAGATTACACTTATGTCATGAACACTGTCTGAAGCCTTGATTAGTGGCATCTGGGAGAAGAAAAATGGGAAATGTACCATTTCTGTTTAATAATGATCTCACCAAGAGCAAAAAATTACAAAGCAGCTATGTAGGTCAACCTGATACTAATTCTTAATTTTTCTTTATGTTCTCTGTTAAAAAAGTAAGATTTTTACTCCCTTTTTTACAACAGTTTAAACTCAGAGGTACCTTTAGAATGACAATAATCACGTTGATCCCTGTGCATTCACATAGAGATAAAACTTCACTGAAAGATGACTACGCAACAGAAAATGCTGAAGGACTCTACTTCACTTCTTATTCCTTCTTGGCTTACTCTACACCTGCTAGAATGAAAACCTCTTCATTGCAGTGATTCTCTTCTGACAATTCATGCAACAGTTTTAATGTGGCCTAGCACATCGTCAGTGTTCAAAAACAGTCACTATAAAACTACCAAAGTCTTTTTATTATCTGCAAGCACTTGCCCATTTTCTTACACTGCTTTCCTCTTCTGTTTAACTATTGTGGTAGTGCTGAGTTAATCCCCTTAGAATGAAAAATCTAATTAACATCTATTAGGCACTTAATTAGACTATAGTAATTAATATTCAAGGTAATACAATATTTGAGTCTACAATGTGCATTTCTGCTACTAGACTAGTCTCCTCTCCACCCCACTAGTTTTCATCCCCTGAAGGGAAGGACTAAGACCCAAATGTCATCTGTGTCTTGGATTCAGTTTCCTTGACTGGTAGAGAGGAAAGAAGAGACAACCCTCATTAGAAGTTCCGGTTCCAAGCATACAGCTCTCAATTGCATCCAGCTAAGATCCAGTAAGCATTTTTCATCACAAGACATGCAAAACACAACACCCTCTCCTAATTCCAAAATAAAGATAGTCTAATCAAAGCAAAGGTACACTCCACCATCTGCCATTTCTAGTTCTGTCGCTTCAGGGCTCCTTAGGCCGCTAACCATCACCCTTCACACAAATATATAGACAAGCCTGAAGGACAGTGAAGTAAGTTTTTCTTAAAAATTACTGTAGTAGGCAGGAGAGTATAAACACTGATGATACACACACAATTTAAATATCTGTGGCATGAAGAATAGACAGGCATAAACAGGATCATCTGGATCATCAGCTGGAGGAGATGCTCCATTTCCAAGGGGGGTTTTTTAGACTTAAAAAATCATACCTCATACAAAACTGTAGTATTACCATGAAGGAGAGGTCCATAGCAAATGTAGGAATGACCAACAACCCAGCCTAAATCAGAAGCTGCCCACCATACCTAAAATGAAATATAAACAAAATTATAGTTAGGAGTAATAAAAGGCATTAAAAAACATTTACATGAGATTTAAATAGAATTACCTCACCAGGTTTGAGGCCATATACAGCTGACATGGTCCAGTTCAGCATAACTGCATAGCCACCAGTTGGTCTCACAACACCCTAAATGAGAAAATTTGAGTATTTAAATATTTAAGATTTGAAGGATACAATCATATTGCTGTGTTCAATTAAATGGTAAGGATTTAGCAGCAATGGAATTAAAGTTGTCCAACTTCAATACTTCTTACTCAAGAAAAGGATCTCTTCCAACAACAACATACTAACACCTCCACTAAAGAAGTCATTTTGGAAAACAAAACCCAAACGTACAATAAAACAAACAAACATTCAGAAGACAATTAACAATGCTAAAATTCTCTCATAAAAGTTGGATATTCAAATACTCAGTCAATATATACTGACAAAAAATCAGAGTTTAAGTATTTACCTCACTTAAACTGTACCATCCCAGTGCTAGGCATATTTTAAACTCATTGCCTACTCTATGTGTATCATCTTCACACCTGCAAAATAGATGATCCCTGAAAAAACTGGGGTGAATTACTCCCTGAAATGTCCCTTTCTGCCCTCTTTTTAAAGATGTCAGAATATATTCTTGAAAGTTTACTATCTAGCCTGAAGAACAGAGATGAATGCTAAATGAATACTACCTCAGTCTTTGAGCTAAAAGAGAGATTTGAAAATTAGAATGAGAGATTATCAACAGCATCGTGCACCTTGGTAAACCAAAAATCAGCTCTGGAACATCTTTAAGAGGAAACTTTTGGACGTATTTTGCAATATTAGTATGGTCAATATATATTCCATCACCTTCTAGCACATTATTCATAGAAGAAAGAATTAAGTAAACTACGTCCTGGTGTCCTGAACTAAAATTCAGATGAAACCCACTGGGCCAAACAAATATGCAGTGAGCAGACATTACAATGCAGCTGTGCTAGGCATGGTACATTCTCTTGATGTACTTAATAGAATGAAATAGGCACTTTCAGGCCTCATCCAAGAAATGAGGGACTGCAGAGATACATTAACTCATTAAAATGGAGATTGTTAAGGCAGAGAATGGTTTACAAACACTTCACAATTTCAGACAGCAGGTTGCCTTTGTTCAACTCAGCTTCTAACCTAGCCTCTGTTCTGAGATCAACAGAAGATTTTTAGGATGGTCATAACCAAGTAGTTTTACCTGAATGACCATTTAAATTAAGTTACTTAAATCAATAAAAAAGTTATTTTATTCACTGAGAATTACTTATTGCAGCTTACTGCTAGTTGAAAATCTCTCTTGTGAAAGGGTGACCGATTCAAGGTATCTATATTTTTCTCTGCAGAGACAACACAGTGAAGCAAACTTCTGAGACCTATTACCTCTGAGATACTCTATTGATAGTGAGTCAAGGAAAATATCTGTTGTAACAAAGGATTTTATCTTGGGTTTTTCGACAGTACAACTGTATGATTTGGGATATATATATTGCTTTCAATGGCCCACATTGAAGGTAAAAGCAGAAAACATTTTTCTCAGCAAAACTGATGTTTGTTTTCCCTTATATCCTAAGAGATTCTGAACTTTCTAGGCAACACCATTAAATAATTTTTAGCAGTAGAATTTTTCTCTCCAGGATGTGTGATACTGTCTGAATCAGTGGTGGTAAGACTAGTGCCAGAAAATTATATTCAGCTTGTCTTCCACATTGTAAACGAGCATTTTAAGTACCAGGCAAACACTCGGAGAGTTAACTTTTAAAATACAATCCTTTAAAAATACATTGTTAAAACTAATTTGCATTCAAAAGCAAACTTTTTCAAAGGATACCCTTTGTTAATTTTCACTTAATCAAAACTTCTATTTTCAGGGTATTATGTACTCAGAACTGCAGTAACACAGGCGTTCAGAACATGCATTATTTCATTTAATCTGTAATGCCATTCAGCACACCTTATCTACAAGACAATTAGCTAATATGTAAATAATGAACAAGATTAGTCAGCAACAAATGCTATCACACAAGTGATATATTAACTGGTCTTGTCATTAAGTAACCATATTATGCTTATCTAAGAAAGTTAAAACACAGAAGACAGTACTGAATAAAAGACATTCTGCTATCCTCAAAAGTTTATTTTGTACAAACAATTGAAGAAAATGCATCTTATCTTTATATTACTACTATTTAAATTTAAAAACATTATTTATTCCTAGACACTGCCTTTAAAATAGTGAAATGTGAACAAATGAGATTAAACCATTTGTAGAATATGTATAATTTACAGCATTGTGCTCTGGCAAACATTTTCCACCTTTTCAATTAATTTTTTTTTTTTCATGGGGAAGTGCAAGTAGTTGGTCACAAACACTTAGACTACTGATAGTCCTTTACCTTGGGCAAACCTGTTGTTCCAGATGTATACAGAATATAAAGTGGATGGTCTGAGGGAACAGAGACACATTTTGAACACTGGGCTTTTGCAAGCTCTTCTTCCCAGTCCAGATCACGACCTTTGGTAAGAGGAACATGGCCCTGCCCATTGAAAAATAAGAAAATTGTCAAAAGAAAACCACATGGAATAAATGGAATTCATTCAAAAGACATGTGCTATTCAAATTTTTTATACAGTACTGCTCAATTTTCTCTAATCTCTCCACACATTAGTTCTATTTTGTATTTAAATCTTATGAATATAATGCTTGCCCTTAAAATTAAAAAGCAAACTACAATAGATACAGTAAAATATTTCTTGCAGAAAAGTAAAGGCACATGCACTACACAAATAAGTGAAGGCAGTACTAAAGGCAGTAAAACTGTACACCCACCAAATTAGGTCGCTGGTAAACGAGAACTTTATGAGGTTTGCTCTGTACCCTTGCCAGTGCTGCTTCTAGGAGAGGTATGTATTCCACTTTCCTTTTTGGTTCTACTCCAAAACTTGCTGTTACAATAAGTTTGGGCTAAAAAAAGAAGATAGTTAATATGTACATTTGCAATGTATTTTTAGATATGTAACATAATAATATTTTCCATCAAATTCAATGTGTACAATTCATCTTTATATAATTAGACACAAGACTTTAGATCAGTTTTCTAGAGTAAATCAAGCTTGTGTCATCTCACTGTCCATGCACATGCTTTTTGTTTGATGGACATTAATACCTTCTGACACTTCACTATTTTCAAACACATTTGAGGTAAGACATCAACAATATTAACTTCTTATTAGTTGCACAAATATTATTGAACACAGAGAGAAACCCCTGTCCATCTCAGCTCCTCCACTAAGGAAGAGTGATGCAGTGATGTCAACAGTTAGCTGTACTGTTTTGCCTTCTACCTAATGCTTCCAATTCCACATTTCAATACTAGCTGAAGAACTTTGCTGGCTTTTTCACAGCCTGCAATAAAAGTCACAGGACAGAAAAGAGAAGAAAGAGGGAAAACAAGGTGAACAAGAGATGGCAGGAAACTAGAAATACAGGAAGAGAATGAGTGGAAGTCATAAGGCACATGAGGGAAGTAAGGCTAGAGTTTTTCAAGAGATGGTTGAAGGACTGAGGGTGCAAAATTACTAAAAATCAGATTTGTATAGTTCTGGGGCTTTTTAGACTAACATATGCTTCCAAATGTAGATTTCACATCTTTGTCAATAAATTAACCACAGCTTTTATGTAAGACTGCCTAAGTGAAGAAATCTGCAGAGAAGCTATTTTGACTTCAGTCCAAAGATTGGTATTTTTATTTTTTTTGTTTTTTAGGAGAGAAAAGGTAGCACCAAAAAAACTATGTGTTAGAACCTATTTTACTTGGAAAAGAATGAGTCTTCAATCTCCATTGTTTTGAAGTTTTAGAAGTGTATTTATCATATGGCGCTCAGTTTGATCAAGCTAGTTTACTAATTGTATGCATTAGCATAAATCCCGTTAAGTAGGCATAAACCACAATGTCACAGTTAAGGCTAAATCAAATTCAGCAGAGAAAGCACAGATTAAATTTTTTTCTTGTGCAATAATAAAATGTTTCCTGTCCAAATCTGTCATTCGGGAAAGATCACTAACTGGCGTGTATTCAAAATAAAGATTCAGGATGAGCTTTAAAATTTCAGCATTCATTGATTTTCTTTTTGGAATGCACTGATTTAGTAGAAGATGATAAAATACAATGCAGTTAAGCTGCACATTCATTGGGAGGCCACCCTGAAGTCAGACTGTAATAAATAAAAGATACACAGTCCTATTCAAGTGTTAAGATAAAAGACTCTTGTTATCACTAGCTTTATAGTAATTTGTAGATGATCCCACCTGTGCTCATCAACTGCCTTGTATGTAGTAAGGACATCTAAAAATAACCAATACTAAATTAGCCGAGGTGATGTACTACCAAAGTGAAGAAGCATCATGGATCACTCCAGGCAAATCAAAGGCCCACTACTGGTTTCAACTGCTCTTTTCTTCTCTCTGCCTAGTGACATTATTTCCCCCTCACCTCTGCTCCCATACTGCTTTCACACACCCATTTCCAACCTCTTCTGTGACTCCATGCAGTCCTATATGTTAAGATTAGATAGAAATATAACAAGTTTGAAGAAAAACCAGGGAGAGTTCAAAGGTCTGCTGGAGAACAAATTACACAGATAGCGAGCTATAGAAAAAAAACCAGCAATGTTATGAAGTAGAAATGAGCTAAAGCAAGGCCCAGTAGTATAAGATGTTGGTACAAGACCAACATTTTTATTCTGTTGTAAGGACTCCTTCTACAAATTCTTCTATACTCTCTAATACCCTTCAAGTGATGCAGCTGACACTCCTGAAGGAGGGGATGCCATCCAGAGGGACATGGACAACCTCAAGGAGTAGGCCCATGACAACTTAATGAGCTTCAACAGGGCACAAGTGCAAGGTCCCGCACCTGTGCCAGGCCAAGCACCCCAAAAATCAATGCACTCTAGGGAATGAAGGGACCGACAGCAGCCCTGCCACAAAGGACTTGGGATACTAATGGATGAAAAGCTGGACATGAGCAATGTCTGCTGCAATGGGACAAAGAGGTAATGGTATCAAACTATAAGAGGGTATATTTAAACTAGATATAAGGATGACATTTTTTGCAATGAGGGTGGTGAAATACTGGCACAGATTGCTCAGAGATGATACATGGGAACACCCCTGGGAACATTCAATGTCAGGTTTGACAGGGCTCTTAGCAACCTGATCTATCTGAACATGCCCTGCTTATTGCAGGGAACTCAGACTAGATGACCTTTAAATGTCCCTTCCAGCTGTTCCATGATTGTATGAACCTACCTATTGCTTTAATATTATTAATTCTATATTCCCACACTCAAGTAAAAGGAAAGATGAAAGACAGGAAAGACAAACATTTCCTGTTTTCATGCTCTGTATCACTTCATCACAATTCACTGCAGAATGCCTGTAACTGCCAACACCTAACACAAGCAGAAATTACCAGCTGCAGGACTTTGCAGCATTCCCAGACCTATTTAAAATTCAAGATAAATTAAGCTAAGCTGGCCAAGTGTACCTTTTCATAGTCACTAGAAAGTGCATGTTATTTCTTTCACTCAGACTTTCCAACAGAGTATGAAGTTTGATCTTTCTTCTACAAGACCATCTTACAGCTAGCTTTCCACTGCACATCTTTAACACTTTCTAATTAATTTTACCAATATCAGGTCCTGTACTGCAGCATCTAAACCAATTCAAATAAAAGCCTAATAAAAAGATTACTGTGCAAGTGCTTTATTTATTCAGCATTTTTACCATCTATCACAGGTACTTGCAGGTAGCCTCAAGAGTGTGCAATTTACTCATCATGAAAGCTTTATCACACTGAAAATTGGGGCATGTTTTGAAATTTAGATTGAGGATATGCCTCCCTTTACTCACATTTTAATTATACATCAGATGGACCAAAAATCATCCATAATACTGCCTTTTAAAGAAACCAAAAGGCAATGTAAATTAGGACTTAGTTCATGCTTTGCAGCTAATAATTATATGGCTAGCCCTTCAAAAGAGTTGCTATGTGACCTTGGGTAGAAAATTCAAACTTCCTCTCTTTTCATTTTAATGCATGAAGCAAGGATTATGACTATTGTGCTCTCTCCCTTTTATCCCCTGGGGAAAAATCATTGGGATTAATTAGCCAATAATTGCAAAATACTCTAAAAGTAAACATGCTAGATGATTTGTATTTGTAGCAACCTCAATTTTTAAAGCTTCTAATTTTTCTTCTACATTATTTTATAGCTTGTTAAAAAATGGGTAAGTGAGAAGAAAGACAGGGAAAACTAGAGAGCTGTTGTTAGCCTTTTTTCATCATTCCAACAAACCATTTTGGCCATTTTATTAACATCTTTGTTAAAGCATCAAGGAGAGAGGGGAAATGCATTCAAGTCTCTATTTACAGATATTCATAAAACTGAAACTTCAGTCATCTGAACAGCACTTCTGCACACAGAAATCTACATGAAAGTTCCACAGATCCTAGAGACTTGAACCCTACACAAAATCCTGTTCTGGTTTATACATCTAAGCAACATTATTCAATGATAAGATGGCTACCACAGAGAGTCTGCTGAATGCTTCAAGTGACTGATCAAGGTGACAAAAGACTTTACCTTGTTCACTAGTGGAAAACAAGAATAGGCTATTCCATTGTTAGCTTGTTTGAAACTAATGCATACACAAGCTACTAATATGCCTACATAAGGTACTAAGAATAGTCAATTACTATTTTCATTTCAGTAACACGGACATCACAACACTTTATAAACAAGCTCAACTTATGCCGAACACAGGAGCCTTTAAAGCATTCATCTCTATTAACTATGTAATCAGTACAGTCACTTATTTAGGGCAACTGTTTCCATAGCTGTCAAGAGAGATGGGTCCTTTCTGGAGGGTGTAGTGGGGTAGTGCAGGTTCAGCATGGCGTGAACGATTTGCCTCTCTTGTACACTCTGCGATGAATATTGCTGCTGTTACTGTTCATTTATTTCATTGCTGTTTCTAGCACATTGTTCTTATCTCAACTGATTCTTTAGCTTTTACGCCTCCAATTTTCCTCTTCATCCCAGCACAGGGAGGAAGAGGGAGCAGTGAGCAAGCAACATAAGGTTTGGAGTGTTTCAATGAGAACAATAAATTGGGGAGCACCATTCCTAAATCAAACACAGCTGAAAAAATTAACTGCCTAACATGCCTAAACATCAGACAAGCCAGTGAAATCACTTAGGGTTGGCAGAATTTTCCTCATACACTTGATGAAAACGCTGAACCAAAAACCAGTATTAAAGAGATGCTTTGTAGAAAAAGATTGACAAACTTGAGAATGAGAAGAAAGTACACTCTACACAAACAACAGTGTGTTAAACTTCTGCTTTTGTAGAAGGGGTCATAATTGCTCACTTGGTGTCTGCTATACAAGTTCAGCCTCAGCACATAGTACTTTGCTCATATTGCAACAATAGGTATTATAAACAAACTGTGTGCCACACAAAGAGAAATGTTATCCTGTCTGGGAAAAAATCCAAACAACAGGTTTTTGACATTGACAAACAGGAGTAACTAACACAATGGTGTTTCTTGCTTCAAAGAGGTTATTACCTTTGCATGATCAATGCGAACTGAAAGCTCTTTAGATGCAAATCCACCAAAAATCAGGCTATGGATGGCTCCTATTCTCGCACAAGCCAGCATACAGTACATTGTCTGTGGAATCATGGGCATGTAGATGACCACACGATCTCCTTTCTTCACACCATGTTTGATCATGACATCAGCTAACTTGGAGACCTGTACTGACAAAACATTCATGTTTAAAGTTTCTTCAGATCTGCTGTTGCTCCATTACAAAAACTTTCATACAGTCAACAGATGCACAACATCCAAGACACAAGCCAGTATGATAAGGAAAGTTGATGTAATGTAATCAAGCTTCAGTAAATTTAAGACATTTTCTTTCTTGCAAAAAACCTACTTATATATTTTTCTTTTGTATAATAAAAATGGAAGGAGACCAATTATTGTAGTCAGTATAGCCAAAAAAATCAATAGCAATGTCTAGCAAATTTTTAAATGCGAGTCTACCAGTTATTCTTTTATTCAGGTAACAGTTTATATTTCTCAGTTTTAGCTCTTAAGAATGAATGTAAACACATAATTTCATAATATGAGTTCTGTCCTAACTAGCTAACTTTGAAACACAAATCAATATGTAGTAGTATTTTCTTTACGCAGTCATAAACTTCTCAATCTGAGACAAGAGACGTTATACTCTGAAACAAAGGGAAACACAAATTCAGTGTTATCTAGGTTTAAATATCTAGGTTTAAAATCAATTTTTGCTCTCATTGTCAGATTTTCGTTTTTGCTATGCAGAAACCTAAGAGTGACTATGTACAGCAGCAAATGACTGGAACTCAAGAAATGCAATGCACTGATCAACAGCAATGCCCCTGTAACACCATGAGAAAATATTTATTACTTTGACAGTACACAATATTTGGTCACAAAAGTAGTACTGAATATTTCATCAGTATTTAACACATAGTAAATTGGATTATAGTGAGCATGGGAGACTGTGACAAGCACTGTGAAGTTGTCCCAACCTGCTGGTTGTGGCATGGCAATGTGGTATCTTCTGAAAGAAATGCTTTCTTTTATAAAAAATTCTTTTAAAAAATTTGAGTCTTCTCTAAAGAGCAACTATATTCAGTCCTAGAATCCTCACAAATACATTGAAAAGGACATAAACTGCTTTGTATGCAGTAAGGATATCTAAAAAATAACCAATAGTAAATCAGCTACAGTGATGTATTTACTCAAGTGAAGAAGCATCATGGGTCACTCTGTGCACATCGAAGGCCCACTACTGGTTTTAAGTGCTCTTTCTACTGTTTGTACCTCTGCCTAATGTCATTATTTCCTGCACCTCTGCTCCCATATTGCTCTTATATATTCATCTCCCACCTCACTGTCTCTCTTCAGTGGAAATACATGTTCAGACTTTCAGTAACCTGAGACAGTAACATCCAGAAACTCCAGGAGCATCTCCTCTGTCTTTGCATTAAATTCACAGCTCATCCACAATCAAACAGCACATTTCTACATTCTCCCCAAGGATATAAGAAAATGGAACCACAGAAGCCCCAAGCAGGCACTCTTGCACCAGAAGATACTGCCTAAGTTCCATTTTCTGTAAGCATTGCATAAACCTGTGCTGTTATTTTCAACCACAAGAAAGAACATGTTTGTAAGGCAAAGTCAGCACCACACCAAGCTGAAAATTCACACAAACTTAGGTATCTATGTGATTTGTATGGAATAGATCTTTTATCTTAAATATTACTGATTTTCAAGAGAAAATATCTTTAATGCTAGACTTATTTATACCTATCAAGATCATCTAGAACTGAAACACACTATCAAAACTCAACAAAAACCAAAGACTGGACATGTGCAAAGCTAGCATTTATTGCCATACCACCAGCATTTACAGTAATTTCTAGGTACAGTTAGTGAAAGTAATTGTAAATAAAGATAGCAACTCTACTTCTAAAGGCAAATTACTTTTCTGTACTTCCTCATTTGAAAACATTAAAATCTTCAAACACAGAGCTAACATCACCTTCTCTCAAAGAAATAAGAAAGCTAATCATTATCTTCCCTGCTTGTGACTCTCAAGCAGAGTGTTGCCAAAAAGGCCAGAGGCAATGAAAATAACATTTAATGAGTATTTTTATAGTCACTGTAAGTGTGGATAGTGGACAATAAATACTTAAACAAAATAGACAAGTACTATTATTATTCATTATTATTATTTCATAAATAATTATTAATAATTATGAAAAAGGAAATGTTTGCCTGCTAAAGGAAAAAGACATTATTTAATGACCGTAATTAATAATTTTGTAATAGAAGACTCCCAGTGCCTGCAAACGAGCTATATAACTGGTTCCTGGGTATAGGAGAGAGACAGCAAAGAGATCTGCATGTACTTAAATAATCTTTATTGAAATCTATCATAGCTAAATTGCATTTAAAGCAGAACGCGTGTACAGCATACTGCAGACAGAACTACACGTCAGCTGTGCAAACCCAGTAATCACTTTTCTGCACCTGACTTCCCCGCCCTAAAGACTGCCAATGTCACTGAAGACAACAATCCAATCCAATACACGGGTATCTATGATTTTCCTTGTGCCCTTTTCTTCATCCTTCTGACAGACAGGGAACATTTGGACTATACAATAAAACACTGTCTCTATCTGCAACTATTTGGAAGACAGGGGAATACTGTAAATCAGGTTTACATTGCCCTTCAGATTGATGTGGTAGCCCTGAAATATCCAAGCAATCACTCATTCTAAAAAAAAATAGGAGGGTGGAAAAGTGAATACTGACATTTCATTAAACTGCTAATAAAAGCCATGAAACCTTGCACTTTGCTACAATGTGTTGTCATTTATGATTTACATTAATACAGTGTAGTGTACTTTATCACTCAAAAACTAACACGCTATTTCTCCACTTTTCTTCAAGTTTAAGACTGGTCACTCTCTTTAATATATTTGACATTTCAGTAATAAAATCACTTGAGACCAAGTGATATAATAAGAAACTCTAGCAGGCTATCAGCTTGGAAGACCAGAGCATAAATTACACTTCTATCAAATGCATGGACCCAGTGAGCATGGTTTTACTTTTATCCAGCAACCAAATACTACAGCTGTATTAGCAGCTAAGGTTTCTAAGTCATTCAGTTCTGAACTCCTAGCAGTTACCAAAAGCAGTTTAGGTCCATGCCAAAAAAATTCGTCTTGAAAGATGCAAAACCAGAAATCCCATTCAAAATGCTCAAAAGAGGAATTCCAAACCTTCCTGGGTTGAACAGTGACTGGAACACACAAGCATAGAATCCATCAATGCAAGCTAAACTCTCCTAGACCAACAAGATCCATGAAAAAAATACAACAGCCTACGTCCCTCCCATTTTCAGCAGATCTCTTTGTTACTTTTGTTTTCATGAGTCCGGTAGCTAGCAGATTAAACTACCAAATTAACCTTACTGTACCAAAGTGGACCAGAAAGCTTCAACAGACAAGCTATTGATATCAAATATTGCCTTTCACATTTATTTGCTTTTGATTAAGAGCAATCTGTAGAGAATTTAGAAATAGTATTTAGATAGGACTCAGCCTCCAGCAGGATTATAATGAACTTCTGAGTGAGTACTGCTACATACCCCAGAAAACTTAAACCAGTTCTTCCACTTGGTTTGGCAATGCTCTGTAAGAAGAAATGTAGATGAAAGGATGTGTATGTCAACTAACAAAATTTTCTCACTTTGCAGAAATTCGCCATGCCTTAAGACTATTAATACTCTTATAGAGGCATAAACTTAGGAGACTTAATATAATATCAAGCTTAAAAAGCAGAAAAAAGGCTACTGTTCTTTTCAGTGGAAATTTCTACCAAGCAAATTCACTTAAGATAATTTACATTAAAATGTTGCATTTCTGCATTAAAGTTAACCAAGTATTATATGCAATGTGTGTATACATAGATTGATTTCATATATACACATCTATTTGCATATAGATTGTGTATATATCATAATTATTGAAGGCAAATGACACAAAAATTGTATATATAAAATTTTAATTATACTTATATATAGTAGTATAAATAAAATTAAATAAGGAGCTGGATCTTTTCAAAGTCTTCTGACTCCTTAAAACACCAAAGCTAGTTATTCCAGCTCCAGCATACCGTATGTCATGTTGTTTATTGGACTTGTGTCCAAATAAATAGAAAACTGGTAAGGAGTACATGTTTTCTGTATTTTCCTTTAAAGGTAGAATGCATTACAGGTTTATAATTTCTTTGTAGTTGTGTGACTTCTCTTTTCTTGCAACAATTCTCACAAATGGAATTACTGTATTCTGACCTCATTTCACATTTTAAACCACAGCTTCACATTACTCCAGACACTATATGCATATCTTAAGTACAGTGAGTGTGTTACATTCAAAGTAATCCATCTTGCACATTGAAACACCTTGAGGAAGAATACGACTACAACTCCCAACATTTCTTTGTACTCAATTTTAAGTTCAACTGCTACATGTAACTGGAAGAAGAAAGGCAGCTAAACAAGAGTAGCAGCATGAGGGCAAACCTCCAGCAGACAGCCCTGAGAGCCAAGAACTTTCAATGGGGCAGACTGCAAACACTCAGGGCGGCAACAACCCATGGGGAGGCAGAGAGTAAATCTGAATGGGCTGATGCAGAACTGGACACTCACAGTCTCATCAGGAGTAAGCTACCTCAGCCAACAGGGAAGTCAAAATCCACACACCTTCCAGACAGAAGGGCCACCAGCACCCTCATGACACCTACACAGGGGCAGGTGATGCAGCTTTCTTTGGTTCCCCCCAGTTAAATTTCATTTAGGCTTACACTCAGTTATGCACAGCAACAGCCAAGCCACACATTTCACTTCTTTGGAACTGTACTTTTGCTCACCACAGCAACTGTCAAAAGACTTAACTAATGCTATGATTAACCTTTTAATTAAGATCTGTTAGGGGAAAAGAAAATGAAATCAAATACAGACAAGTTAAAAATTTAACCAACCAGGGGAAAAATTATTAAACTGTAAAAGAAAAAGAGGAAATAGAGGAATTTCAAAACCTGTTGGATGCAGTATAATTTGGCAGAGGTAATAAGCTTATAAATCAATACTGAGCATAGCAAAAGAAGTAAACTAGTGAGGTAGATAATTTCTACCTCTCTGGTATCTACCTACTGTGCAATATTTACCGCCCCTTCTCATTAACAAGGTTATTCTGAAACATACCTGTTCCAGAAGTTCCTTATATGTTATTTTGTCCTTGGTATTTGTTACAGGACTGTCATAAATAATGGCAATTTGGTCTCCTCGTCCATTCTCAACATGACGATCTACAGCGTTGTAACAGATATTCAGCTCTCCACCTACAAACCTACAAAAGAAGTATGAACTATGAAACAGCTAGCCTTCCAAACTAAGGACTTTTTTTTTTTCTTGATCATTTGGTGTTTTTCTTTTAAGAAATGAGAGCATTCAATTAAAACATAGTTGTCAAAACATTATACTAACTTCAGGAAGTTCTTTTTTATTGTGCAACCTCATGAGTGACTCAACAAGCTAAATACAACTATTAGTGAAAACAGAGAAATTAAAGTACTGTTTCTTAACTGACATAATTAAGAATCTGTTAAACTTGGCCTTGGTTTAACTTTGCATTAATCACTCTCATTTTATATGTATGGTATCACAGAAAAAGCATAAATTCACATAAATTAATTTGACATTATGAAAACATGCTATTATCCTATTTTGCACTGTCACACACACATACCCTTTTCAAGGAGAACAGGTTCAGGACTCAAAATAGTCTTATTCATCTCTTGGCAATAACAGTTAAACATACAAGCATCTGTAGCTAAATGAAAGGGATCCCAAGTTATAAGACCATATGATTATAATGCATTTGACAACACTCTTTTGTATCAGTGACTCAAAATTTTCTGTAAATTTATATGAGTCATAGCCTCTTCAATAGTTAGACATTTACAGAGAACTCTTATCTTCCAATTAAAGAAAAAACATTTCACAAACTTAGGTTTCACTTTTCTAGTAATATTACATAGAAAAAGAAAATCAAGTGCAGCATAATCCTCAAAGTACAAAAATACAGAAGGTACCAGATACAAAGACAATTCCATTTACTGGAAGACGACACAGCACCTAAAAGTTAACGTTCACACTAGATCATGTCCTTGTTTTTTGTTTTTCTATCTGTATGTATATCTGTGCAGCAAAAATAGCAATATACGAAAAACACACAGTTGAGAGTTTCCAAAAGGCTCTATGGGGAAAACTGTACAGTGGTAAAATATTATTATAATGCAATTAGAAATAACAGATGGCCTAAAGTAACTTACTGTTAGTTAAAAAAATAGTATTTCCTTCTTCACTTCTCGTGTGTAGTAAAGGAATGCTCTAAATCAGGGTATCTTATATATTACTTTTATATCCATACACTATGGGATAGTCTTTATTTTCTAAAAATGGCAATTATTAAATTAAAACCAGTTAGGATGTTTAGGATTCAGATATCTTACTGCAACTCCTTTACAATGTCATTAATAAGGAGAAAGTGGGGGACCTTCAGAGTCACAAACCATCCTGTACAAAAGTCTACAAAACCCTTTCCCTACAAGGAAAACAATAAGAACAATAAAGGATCTGGAATTGTTTCACATAATACAGAGAAACTCTGTATTACTGTCATAAAAGTTGTGTAAGATTCAGATTTTTCCACCAAATCACTGTAGGATGATATTAACAAGGGAACACATTACCTGGGCTATGCATATTCACTTTAAATGGTCAAAACATGAGCAGCCGTGAGAGCTTTGGTTCTTCTAAATATACATGGCAACATCAACATGAATTTTTAGCAATCACTTACAAACAAGGCTGTGAAAGAGCTATAACTGTGTGTTTAATCAAAAACCAAATCTATCTGGAAGGTGTGAAGAGAGCTTTGTTACCCTGTTAAGAAGGAAAGAGGTTCTGATAGGATCAAAAAAGCAGACATTCACTTTTTTTATATTAAATGAGAGTAGAAGTTGAATAAAATGTTAGACAATATCAGATAATTTGAGATATTATTATGTAAAACAACCCTGACACAGTTTTAAAAGTGTAAGTAACATCTGAATAGCAATCTGGGCAACATTTCCAAAATTCAAAGGGGATTATATATTGCACATATGTCTTAGCATCAGACGAAAAACATATGTTGCAAAATTGCCCTCTGCCTGCACATGTTAGAGAAAACTGTTTCCACATTCCTAAACAAACACTTGTTTTAACCCTTTTAACTAGCATTCCACAAGATTCCAAACTAATCTGTTCAAGTGTTTCACCAACTTCAGCATTAAAAAGATTTTTCTAACATCTAAAGACTATGTTTCCCATGCTGCAACTGAAGACAGCTTTGACCTGTTCAAAGCCAGCTCAAGGAAGTTTTTCCTTCAACTTCTTTACCAAATTCTATGTGGTTTAAAACCTAGGTCTCCATTTTGGCTTTTAGATCAAACAATTTCAATTCCTTCATCCTTTTTTTGAGCAACCATCCTTCATAGCTCTTATTATTTTTCATGTAGGCAAAACCAGATGTTTTGTGCTGTATCAGCCACTGATGCAGTTTAGAACAGTACCTGGGATTACTGCTTCAAAAAAAAAAAGTCAGGGGATGGTGACACTGATCACTGATTTTCTGGAAATCATTTTGCATTCCACTGACATAATGCTGGTATTTCCAATGGCAGAGAGTGAAGAAAACACACTGGGGCATGTTGCAAGTTTCTTTCATGCTCTTACATTATTTAGAGAGGAAGAATTGCCTTATGCCTACATTCTGAATACAGTAACAACCTCCTTCAACTTCTTCAATTGAAGCAGATTACACTGGAAAATATACGAAAAGCATCTGCTTCTGTATATCTCAGGTTCTGCAACCAAAAGCAAACGTATTGAAAAAAGTGGTATTTCCAATTGATCTAATAAAATGTCTCCAAAAGAGGAAACAAATTCTAACTCAAGATGCACATACATGAACTTCTTAATACCATTTTTCAGGCCCACATAAACAGCTTCCAAGGTAAACCTCTGACCCAGAACTCCATTTTTACCTTGTTAAGCCAGCAACGCATGTTTTTGCTTGGATGCCTGGCCTCTGTTGTCTGTTTTCTCTTCAGCCTGTCCTCTGAAGAGAAAATTCTTCTATGTTCTCTCTCTCTTATACTCAAAGAACTTGCCCATCTGTCACTCTGCTGAGCACACTGACTGCTGGTAACCATTTGGGATTTCAGAGGCATTGAAGTACATTTCTATTATATACAGCCTGTTATCATTTAAAGTGAACTTAAAAAAAGAAATAAAACTGCATGTTGCACATTAAGGCATTTGTTTATACAAATTTGAATTGCTTAAAGTTTTTATTATCCACAGAACAACAGGTACCTGGCATACAAACAATTACAGCCTGATGTTCAGTCGACAGACTTGCATCTTTGTATCACACAGAATCACAAACTGGCTTGAGGTTGGAGGGGACCTCTGGAGGGCACCTGCTCAGACAGGTCTGTGGCATCCCACCCTTAAGGGGAAGGCAGAACCTAAGATTCAGAAAAAAAGGCAGTGGGCCTGTAAAAACTTACTAACTATTATTAGTAAATACCACATATTTTGTACAGGAAATCTGTATAAATTAGTCCCTGATACCCTATAGTGCCTACACCCTAATATGGCAGTGGGTTTTGGATAAAGGTCCATTTTTCCCTCTCATAAGGTGAAATAACTTCCACTTGAGAAGTAATGCTTTACAAATGCCTAACTCTGTTACTTTAAACAAACAAGCTTATCCTGCTCAGCAAATCAAACCACACTTGTTTGACAGAATCTGATAGCAAAACTATGTCCATTTGCCTGTATAATACTCTCATTCCTTAGTCCTTCCAACATTACCACTGTACTGATTTCATTATACTGTGGGAATGCCACAGTCAATGAGCTTTACCGGTTTTTAATCACAAGATAACAGAACCAATTAGGCTGGAAAAGACCTTAAGATCATCAAGTCCAACCATCAAACACAGCACTGCCACGTCCACCACTACACTTTATCTGTACATCTACACATAGGTACCACATCTACACAACTTTTAAATACCTCCAGGTTCAGTAGTTCCTTCAGGGCAGCCTGTTCTAATGCTTGAGAACCTTTCTAGTGAGGACATTTTTCCTGATATGCAATAATCCCAATATCTAAACCTCCCCTGGTGCAACTTGAGGCCATTCCCTCTTAAGATCCTATCACTTGTTAATTGGGAGAAGAGGCTGACCCCCACCTGGCTACAACCTCCTTTTACGTAGTTATAGTGATAAGGTCTCCCCTGAGCTTCCTTTTCTCCAGGCTGAACAATCCCAGCACCCTCAGCAGCTCCCCATAGGACTTGTTCTCTACACTCATTTCTACACCCTAATTATACAGGCAATCCTACCTAGACTTTCTGAATAGTGCCATGACCTTGAGATACAAGTCTCAAGGACCCTATCTATCCACTGTTACACAGTCCATTATGGCTGAGTGTTACTTATAATATAGCTTAAGGCATAAATTTTTACTACTAGTGGTGTCAAGCAATGATATCAGACACCAATAAGAAACCCAGCTCCACTCCACTGGCTCTCTATCTTTTAATTTGCACATGAGAATTATTGATGCTTTTAACTATATTTTTAGAATTATTAGCATTTTTAATCAAAAACAAACCAGAAAAATACAAAAAGGGCAAAGGACATGGATGTAGCAAACAAAGATGACCCTTATCCTACATTGCCTTTCATATTCTGCATCAGCTTCTTCTTGAGAAAAGACCCAAAAGCATGACGCAAACTTGCTTAAAAAAAGGCAAAGGTGCCTGTCCAGCACACAAAATTTTAACACTACCTTTGAGAAAGTTTTGAAAATCCTATCTAGTAATTTATAAGAAGGATATCATGTTCTGTCTTAGGATAGTTCACCATTCATTGATGAAGATATATATATTATAACGCCAATGCCTTTGCCAAACATTACCTTAAACACGTCTAAATTATAATGTACTTAGACAGTATCTGAGATTAAACAATCCCGAAAGCCACATTTTTTGTACACCTGTGTTTTCATATGCCTGACTTCCCGGGCATTTGAAGCCGGATTTCCCATGTTCACGACAGCCTGTTGCCAATTCTGACCCATAAAGGGTGGGATGGGGAGCATCAGGCGCACTCATCCACACCATTCAGCCACACACGGACTCACACAAGCACATGTCACACCTGCCAGAGCGCACGCTAACATGCCCTCACCCCAACACGCTCCATGCTGCTTTTAATCATTAATCAAGTGTAATCACTTAACTTCTTCAAGCTCCGCAGCCGTCTCCTCCAACAAAGACGGCACACCGGCAACCCCAGAAAGATGCTGGGACAGTTCTGTGGTGAGCACACGAGCCCCAGCGCAGCAGCCCGCAGCCCCCGGGCAGGCAGTCCTCTCTCCCCGCTACAGCCGAGCTGAGCCGCGCGGGCCCGGCCGTGCCCCGCCTCCGCACGGCACCGGGGCACTCGGGTACTCACCAGGAGGCGCTGCCCAGGCTGTCCCTCTCCAGGGTCCGCACCCAGGGCTTGTACCACTGGATCTGCTCGGCGACTTCTCCCCAGACCTTCTCGGGCTCCGCCAGGCAGGACCGAAAAACTTCCTCGTACTTGCCGAGCGCCCGGGAGGAGGCGGCGCGGCCGCCGGGCGGCGGGCGGAGGGTGGCGGTGGCCCGGGCCGGGAGCGGGACGCCCGCACAGGGCCGGCCCGGCCGCCGCCAGGCACCACCGCCCCGGCCCGCCACCACACCGCTAAGTTTTGGCAGCGCGGCCAGCTTGCCCAGGAAACCCATCTTCCACGGCCTCCAATGGGGAGGGGACGCACTGGCTTCCCTAAGGCTCCAAAACGCCCTCGGCCGGCACGGGACGGAACGGCAGCGGCTCCCGGGGCCGGCGGGGCACGGCAGGACTGCCCCCGCGGCGGGCCGGGCCGAGCTGAGCTGCCCCGCCCGCGCCCCGGCCCGGCCCCCGGCTGCCACCGCCCCCCGGAGCTTCCGGGAAGCGGCTGGAGCGGGGCACCGAGGGTCCCTGCCGGGGCCGGGCCGGGCCGGGGCGTCCGGGCCCGCCAGCGCTTGGCAGCGACCGAAAGCGACGGCGAGACTGAAAAAGAAGACCTCAAAGTATTTGTGACTTACAGGTCTGCGAGACACGTAGCCAGAGTACTCCTCAAGTATTTTATTTTGAAAGGCATTCTTGCTTTGAGAAACTTACCAGTGATAACACGAGACGTACTGTTTGTGCCAGCAAAAGAAAAAAACAAGTTCATTCTGCTTTCCAGAAGGTCTCTATCATCTGTAGTGGATCTTCTGTTTTGCTCATGATGGCGTGTATTTAAAAATCCTTCTTGAGTTTCAGTGTGCATGATTCAGAGTATTATAATGCACGTCAGCTAAGACATACACCATCTTCAAATGTTATTTTATCACTTAAGAAATTGTTTTACTGCTTTAGTAGGCTTACCCATTACAAGTTACTCAGGATATTCTTCCATTCACTTTATAAGAATGTTGTATAGCAAAGAGGAACTCTATAATGTGTTTTATATTCATTATTAATTTAGGAACCTGTTTCCTGATTGTTATTGAATTAGTGTTGTGTTCTTACAGAAGAAGAACATAACAATTTATCACATTAGAGCTAAAGGAATAAGGGATGAGAGGAAACAGACTGTTTACCCACTACAGTAGGTTTAATGCATGAAATCAGTGTATTATCCCGGCTCAAAATACATGAGGGGTGGAGCTCAAGTTCACCAGAAGTTTTAGGTCATCTTGAAAATGCCTTATCTTTCAGCATAAAGACTGGTTGCTGCTTCTGTTTCTGAGGCCTATATAATTATCTCACAGAGTTCCCCCTGGTTCACTGCTGTGTGAAATACCTCTCCTCACTCCCCTCCCTATCTGTGTCACAACAGCATAAAGTAAATACTAAGTGGCACAATGGGATTTCCAAAAATGCTCAAGTTAAGAATCAGAGACGTACTTCTTAAAAAGAAGTTAAAACCCAAAAAAACTCAAGCACCTGAAGGACTAAGTGGACATTCTATTTAGTAAAGTTCCCTACTGCTACAGCATGCCAACAAAGCAAGAAAACTAAAAATACATTTTTAAAAAAAAGGAAAATGTACTTGTTCTCAAATTTCATAATTTTATTATTTTGCTCACACATTCATTATTTTGACAGGACTTTTGCTGTCAACAGAGTTCGGTAGTCAAAGTTTAAAAATAAATAAAGATAAATAAAGAGAAGCTTGCCGATACTGTAAACAATGTTGACACCATGACAGCCCTGAAATCAGATATCGCTGCTGGATGCTCGGTAGTGCATGCCTTGTACAAATATGCCTGAAGAACACAACCTCCCAGTCAGGTCACACATAGTTGATCTTAGCATTTAAAAAATATCCCCAGAGTTATATTTTACATTTCTTACCTGATAACAGGTAGGCTAATTTTGACTCAAAAGAACAATTCTGATTTAAAATTATTATTAGAATTAAATAATAATTTAAAATTATTATTTTAATTAATAAAAAAGTAATTATTTAATTATTTAATAATAATTAAAATTAATTATTATTAATCACGATTAATTTTTTTTGTGTGTGCCTGCTCAGAAATCATCACACACAGCTTTAGACTGATGTTCACAATCCCACTGTGTGGCTGAGTGCAGTGCGGTGACTGTCTACCAGAGGTGTGCAGCTGGTGGACTTAACAAGAGGTATCAGTTGCTTCAGCCCACCAGGTGATCCCACTTTCCCAGTTCAAATCCCTGGAGGTACACTGTCCACTCCCAAGGAGTAACCCTTCATACTCTTTGTCTTACATGCTACCTTCTTTGGATCACCAACACTGCCATCGATGCCCATCTAGTTAGGAGAAGCTCTATAGCAATTGCATGCAGCTGGCCTCTGGGTGGTGATAGCAATCTGTTTCTGACTGGAACATCTCCCTTTTCCCTAAAGGGGAGAAAATTCTGGAGGCCAGGCAAGCTAAAATATTTAAGTATATGTAACAGGCTAGTCGTACACACTGACACTGAACAAAGTAACCTGAGCTTTAACACATAATGTGTCTGGTGATGCCTAATATTTCTTGTGGTGTTGAAGAGCAATACTAACCATGTTTCTACTCCGCCCATAGTGTGTTTAATGTGAAGGTGTAAGTATTAAGCAAAGGAATTTGCACTGGAACATTGGTATGAATTTTGAATATATGTCTTGCTAGAAATGCTATGCTAAAGGTGTAGAGGGTACAAGTGAACTTAATAGGAACAAGAAGTGCATTAAATTCTTATTTTAGTTAGCATCCTACTGATGGAATGTCACCTGAAGGAATGTTTCTAATGAATATCTCTGGAACATCATTAATTAAACTCATCACACCTCATACAGATAGCTAAGAAGGTAAAGAAGGAATTGCTGGTTCTCCCAACTGCATGCTATTAATTTAAGTTTCACTTAAAAATACCATTATAGCAGATTTCTGAACTGATGAATTTTCCCTCTAAGGACCTTTTTTTTTTTTTTTCTTATGCAAAATGTGAAATTCACACTCTACCAAGAATTCTGAAGTAATGTCAAGTGATGCGTGTACCAATTACCCTTGCAGCTGTAGACTTTCTTGAAGGACATATGTATGTCTCTATGCATATATCTAACAAAGAACAAACTATGAAACATGGCCTGGTACTTCTTCAATTGAAAAATCTTATCTGAAGCCTTTATCTTGTTCAAAAACAAATTTTTTTTCCACACAGCTGCATCCTCGAGTGTAAGCTATGCATGTTTGAAGATACGTGTATCTTGAAAACCGATTAGCAGAAAAGTGTTAAAAATATAATCTCCTGTATATGAAATGCTTTGATTGTCCTAGTACACAAGACGTTGGTAACTCAAATTTCAGTTGGAGACCTTTCATAAGCACAAAGTTAAACTGTAGCTAAAGAATTAATATGTATGTTAAATTACTTTGCTATGGTTCTGTACCACCTTTTGTCCAACTTTTAGACTGTCTCAAAACACTGCTAGTCTTGTATGAATAATTTTCAGAGTCCTCTATAGCACTTACATCCAAAATTAAAGGCAATCAGTTTTCTAAAATATGCAGTGGGGTGCAGAGTTAAGTTCAAGCCAAAATAAACTTTTCTGTTTTCATGAAAGGTGATGGAAACAGTATCAGTAACCACCATTTTCTAAGGCACATAAGTAAATGTAGTTGTTATTCCAGTTTAATATCCAGTCTTAGAATATTAAATATATCACAGTGGTTTTGAAATCTATTAAAACTTTGGTAAAAAAATCTAAAAAATTATTGCTTGAAAAAAAAATGTCCATGTTCAATTACTCCTCTGCCCATCGAGGAGGTGGGAATTCATGTCCTTCTGTTTATTTCTGTCTCTGGCAATGAGGGTTTGGTGTGCTGGGAGATAAATTATGAGGACTTAGCAAAACTCTAGAACATCTGTCTCTGCAGACAGAAGCCACTTTTTACATACTTCTGGAAAGTGCTGAAATCAAAGTCTGACTCAATCCTTGTGAAAATGGGTTAGAGATCCTCTGGGGTGAAAATGTGATTCTAGTTTCAATTATTACTGATGTTATCATTTGGTTACTTGAGGAGGTCTTACAGTTCAGGACAGCCTGTATTTCATTCTCTTTTTTTTTTTTTTTTTCCAGTTCTTTTTCTGAACATATCTTGGGCTTTGAAAATGTGAGAAACAAAACCAGATAGATAATTTAATGAATTCTTAATTTAAAAACAAACCAAAACCAAACAAGCCAGCTAAAAGCAAACTAAAACTAAAACTTAAACGAAATAAACCAGCTAAAAAAAAACAACTCCACTTTATGTCACCTAACAAATCAAGGCTATGAAAACAAAATATTTCATGCAAAAGCAAAATTTATGATAAGTTCTTCAGTATTTAGACATGATAGAAGAAGGAGTCTGTGGTAAATTCCTTGTAGAATTTTGTCTTCTGTTTTGCATTGCTGCTGTTGGGGATTTAAATTGCAAACCTGATGTAATTTTTATGAAGACTGTTGTTGAACTTTGATTTTTTAGTTAATCCATGTCCCTGAGCTGCCCAGATTCCTGAAAGTGCCATTTATTGATTATTTGTATCTACAAGAGTAAAATCTGCTGTTTTGTCCACTGCTACTCCCATTTCTTTCATATGCTTCTACCACTGTTTTCCAGGTGACTGCACCAGAACCATCACAGGCAAAAGGACTGTTACTGCAAAACTTTCAAATTTAAATACATATTCTTTGAAGGGGACTAAAGGACTTCAGGCACTGACATTCTTACTGATGTTGCTTTTGTACTTGATAACAAAAATAACCGTGGTTTTCACCATTTTTTTTTTACCAGAAAATTGTCTTTTTCACAGAACTCTGATAAACTCCGTTAACCCTCAATCTAAGTGTTAGTGTTAATGTCAGTATTGTCATAAAAATAATTTTTAAATTACCTTTTATATAAATACTTCTTATCAGCAATACTTTCTGAAATAGAGAATACAGCCCAAGGAGTATGAAGAAGTTAGGCAGTACTGGAAGAACTCCATGATTAAAAATTACAATAACTGTAAGTCCTATTTTCAACCTTCAATGACTAAGATAAAACAGAAAAGCTGATTTTTCCCAGAATATCCAGGCTTGACTTGACCAAAGGTACACTGATTCTGTTTTCTGTCTAGGAGGGATGAGGAGGGTGAGGGGAGATATAGTTTGCATACAGGTAAAGATGAAAATTAAAAAACACAAAACCCCATATGCTTAAGATTTTCAAAACAATACCTAAAATGCAGTACTGAGCTGCTTTCACACTCAAACTCTGCATTTCGCATGACAGCTCTGGGTGCACAAAGAGTGCAGCCCTTGCATTGTTGGCTGGGCTAAAGACTCACCGGACACTGTGAGGAGCACAGAGTGAAGCTGGCACAGCTTTAGTATTTATCTCCTTTTTTGTCACATC